TGTATATATATAAAACTATAAATATATAACTATATATATATATATATTTGTGTGTAATTATAATATAGAAATGTATTTATAGCGCAATTTGCAAGGCGTTGAATAAAAGAGAATAAGAAGAATAAATTGAAAGATACATAGATAAAAGATCAAAAAGCACCATGGTGTGTGATGATGCAAGCATCATTAATGTATATCAAATATAATCATTATTTTGTACTATAGTTTCATGTAGAAATATATGTATAATCAGGAATAAACATACTACAACCATGGAGGTATATTACCTCCATGCTCTAATCAAGTACGTCCATTTTCAGGCGCGGACTTCCCGTCCCCCCCCCCGCCCCACACTTTTATTTTCGGGCGCCATAGAACACAACAATTTCGCGGGGGCATGCTCCCGGACACCCTAGGGTAGTATTATCTCGATCGGCCCCACTTTCATCCCCCTCCCCATTCCGTTTCTCCCCTTTTGGACATTTCTGGATCCGCCCCTGTTGTTATATTTTTACTTATAGTCGTATTTTTATACCTAAACATTATACTGTCCAAATAGTCCTTCCATGTTTATGCAATATGTTATGGATATTGCGAATAGTATTGTTGATATTACAGCCCAAAATCAAGTATTTAGATGGGTACAAAATTAACACTATTCAATGAAAAACAAACACAATATAAGTTATTTTTATAATATAACCTCATTTTAATGAGAATATAACCATTTCAGAGCTCTTTTTTATTTAAAAACATTTTCTGTAAGGAGCTATTAAAAATCTCCAATAATAAAACAAATATCTGACATAAAGTTAGCGATAATTGAAATAATAGGAGGCAGAAAAAAATATGAGCCATTGGGAGAAAAAAATAATATGCATTTATATAAATTGGAACACAATTATTTTGTTTGAAAGGTCCAACATTAGGTTCACTATAATAGACACGATGTAAAAGTAACGTCTTCCATAAGAAATATTGAAAACGATACTTCAAATCCCAGTGAAAATGTGCACAGTGAGTGATGACGTCATCAAACAGAAGTGACGTACCTTAAAACAACGTACTTTACGTCATGACAAAGTTAGGCCTATTCTAGTCCTCTGTAAAAGAGTCGTCTTTATAGTGTGTTGAGAGATAATACCATTGTATTCGTAGTTTTTCTACAAAAATGGTTAAGCTAATCTTTGTTGTTTGTTTTTTTTCGTATAAATAGGTCTGTTTAGTTTTGCTTACTATAGTACAAGAACAATACATAAATATTCATCTTAAAGTATATACAGCTTTTATGATTGGACACAAACTGGTTGGCGGAGGGAGGTCGACAACTCGTCTTAACAGCGCCGTGTGGATTAACACAAGCGCCACCTTACGGCTGACGCATAAAAATTGAATCTGAGCGTGACGACACCTTTAGTTGTTTTCTGAATGCATCGTTGTTATGACCCGATACAATTCTACGACGATCCTGTCATTTTGTCCTACCAAAAGTTTCTTTGACTACAAACATATATTTAAAAAATTATCAATTGCACAGGTTTGTTGCTGTAGCTGACTCATCAACAGACGTTAAATCAACACATCTAGTTTAACAAAACCGAACACAATTCGATCTTTGTTTTTTTTAGCTCATTCATAAGAATTCACTCCAATCACCAATTACGTCACTCATATAATATTCTTTACTAAAATCAACAGTTTCATTTACTTAAATATTACTCTCATTTAGCACAAAAAGTTATCACTAAAGTCTAATAAGACATTACGTCATCATTTTTGTACCCAAACCAACTAATTACGACAAAGGATGATACGTCACAACTTGAGCATTAAGCATAATCAAATATCAATGTTATGACGATCCCTCTCTTGTACTGTAATTAGTATTTTCCTAGCACCATTTGAAACTGAAGTGTACGACGTACGGCACTGACTTGGCCGAGCCAGCAGACGACAACTGCCACGTCCCGCTGGCTGACCTCTTGACACGTGTGCTCATGAGTTGTAGCTTATAGCGTATGGAAAATGTAACCATTTTCTTTTTTTTAATTATTTTTATTTTGGAGTTACAACTTCTCGTTTCTCAAGTCCACTAACCATTTTCTGAATGCTCTGTAGTTCATTTGTTGCTGAGCTCAATGCTGAGGGTGTGAGGTTTGATGTGCTTGAATTACTCGATATCGGCGAAGACGAGCCGATTCCTAAATGTCCAGCAGCAATGCTTGTTGATCGCAAAATATTCTCGTAGGCTAATGATGTTGCCAATGGGCTAATTGACGATGGCATACTTGCACCGAGTCCAAGCGGGTATGGAGAAAATCGGAATCTTGGACTGTTTATTATTGCACCAGCGCAGGGATTTCCTGCGTAAGCCGAGCCTAGCGTAGGATCCGAGTATAGACCAAGTTGGCTTTGAGCGTTAAAGGCAAATTGCGGATCTAAGCAAGGATGAGGTGCATGTGAGTGTCCAAGTGATGTTGGCACGAAAGGTAACAAATGTGCCATGTTTCCGAGTCCTGGAACATTTCCAGCTCCCAAACCCATCGGATGGTGAAGAAACAGAGGGTGCGCACCTGCGTAGAAAGGTGCCATTCCTGAATGTTGAGAAGAGTGTGGAGGCTGAAATAAATTTCGCCGCGAACTAACCGTGCTAGAGTCGTCATCTAAAAACGGTCGTTTAATTTCTGCTCGTTTAGAGTCTTTAGAACTGCTACAATTGCGTTCTTCTTCATTAGATATTTTCGTTTGTTTTTCTGGTTCATCATCTTTGTCATTTTTCTCTGACTTTTCATCATCATCTTTCGTGACTTCGTGCATTTCTGTATCTTTAATGTTTGTTGTTTGATGGCATTTTTCATTTATTTGTTCTGTTCTCGTTTCTTCGTGTTTCCTATTATGGTGTTCGATTGTGATTCCTTCTGCAAATAAAAGATAATAAATATCGATAAATAAGAGATTTTAAAATTATAATTATCATTTAATATCATTACTGACTAGTAGGAATTATTTAATGTCATTAACGACTAATAATTCACTATTATATTATTTGTTGTTTTCAATATTTTTATTACAGTATTATTATTATTAATAATAATAATAATAATAATAATAATAATAATAATAATAATAATAATAATAATAATAGGCCCGTTATATGTTTCAATAGTTGCATCGTTTTTAATTGTATCATACACATTTTACGAGTTTCAAATTTCACATACCTGGAGTGTGTTTTACTGGCTCGTCGTGACGTTCGTTACTCGTCGTACTAACTTCGGAAGTTTCCGGTTCTGTATCACTTTCACCATCTTGTGGGTCTCTGGAATCCATATCAAACCCAGACGACTGATACCTTCTGAAACAAAGAAACAACATATTAATACATTTAATACAACAGTAATTCCGTAACAAATCATAAATAACTCGTGATTTAGAAAAAAACAGACCAGGCAAGGTTGCGCCGCCTTAGTCTGTCCGCAAGGAGTTTAATAATGAAAGATAGATAATTACTCATCGTTATACTTGTCTATAATTTTCAATTGGGCGTATTTTATCGCTATTCTCTAACTCATTAGTGGCAGTAGCGAACGCGTAATCAACTGAAGCTAGCTAAGTGTCTCTAACTTGATGTTGATAATACAATTTTAACTATACGTCATTATCAAGCACAATAGTGGAATTAAACGCATTTAGTAGCTAACGCGATGAAAACATCCCTCTCTAGACAATACCATTTTCGTTATTGTTAGTTTTATGTACTCCGAGATTTACAAGACCCTGGGGCCAGTAGCAAAACCACCGATACCCACAATGAAATCCTGACATGATTACAGCGCTGTTCATTGATTTTTCTAATGAAATTCAAACAGACGCTAAAGAAAACTGCAAATGTGGGGAACACTACGCACCCCCTCGTTCTTAATAGCGTTCGTGATTAAATCTGACACAAGGGACGTTTTAGAATTAACAAACAAATCATGGCAAATTTGCTTTTTGACAGTTCTTCTATTCGATAGGTTCATTAAGTATTTGACTAGGCCTGGAACCGTTTGGTGCGATTAAGAGTACAGTCCATTTCAAATGAAATATCCTTAGCAATAATAATAATATCCAGGATTCGTAAGTAATGCATTTTTTCACAGATCACAGACTCGTACTCCGTGCTAATTATTAATGACACAAAAGCAACAGACTCAGAATTGTCACTATTCAGTCTTTATCATAGCAAACTCTTCTCAAAAGGAAATTCACAAATTACATTTCGTATTGACATTTGAGGAAAAAAGATACTAGAAAAATAGACACGAGGTTAAAGACCTTTTACACAAGTTTCAGTCTCGCTCGATCGCCTCCACGACAATACCTTACTTATACTTGCTGAAATCTTTAGATAAACGAACACCTCGGTATTAAAAAACATGAATGACTGTATATTATCTGCCCCCAAATCACACCCGCAAAACGTTCGTTGTCCTTTTTTTTAATTGTGTAGCGTTACTGTGCCTTACAAATGAACACGGAGGAAGAAGTATAGAAGAGGGTCGTTCTGGGCAGTAAACGTGATAATTTGTCTGTTATTTCCCATCGATTTATCCATTAACTAAAAGTACAACGCTGAGGTTAGGCTAAATAAATTCACTAGCATTCTTTTTGAGAGGGTACCGCCAACACCTGTTTATAATAGGCCACATATTGTGTGGTCTTCGTTAATTTCTCTTTGCAATCAACAATATTCATATTTTTTCTGATAATCGGAAGGAGTGCTTATATTAATAATTGAGTACATATTCTTTGAAAGTGAGCTTTAATCAAATATTCGTTAATAGCTTATTCGTATTTTTTATATTTATAAAATTTGTATTTACAACTTTATGCCTTATAGTTATTTTAATATTTGCAGTAGGGTAATTTTTGATACAGCTAAAAATTGTTTATACTTATATTCAACCAAATATCGTTATTATTTATAATTTTCTAATATTATTAGTATTTGTACTTAAAGGTAATATGTATTTTTATAAATTTTGTTATTTGTTAAAATTTGTAGTATTTGTATTTAACCTAATAACTGTTTGAACGGTTCATATTTCCTATTTTTCTAACTTCTGAAGCACCAATTGTTATCGTATCGTTAAAGTAACAGATAACGTTAATAAATGATGACGATTTATCTTCAGTAACGCTGCCTCTCTATCATCATTGATATAAATAGAGCCTTAAAAATCCAATTGAACAAGACGGCGATGTTTTTTAAATGTTATTATTCGAGGGAAACGTTTTAAATGTCATGTTAAGGTCGCTTATAAGACGACTCTCCACTTAGTGTTCAGTTAAAAACAACATTGTGTCTATCTCTTATTTTCAACCAATTTGTCATCTCTCGAACGGAGAGCAGAATTAACATTATGACAACCTCGATTAGGCTGAATCGTCGAGAAAACGACGAAGCGAGAAGCCATTCATTCAATTCACGCTTACAGAAGAACAATCCACAAAAAAGGCACGAACAGCGTATTACCCGCCTTGATCATGATGTAGGAAGTGGCAGCCTACGGCAGACAACTATTCTGCCCGCAAGCCCTGTATCACTCATCGCAGCCGTAAGCCATAACAATAACAGCGCGATCAAAAGAAATCATCGTTCATGAAATATAAATGAGATCTATAAAGAATATATTCTAGTGTCTTAAGTGCCACAAATAGTAACAGCTCAGGAGAGGACTCTTCACGCCTTTTGTGGATATCGCAAGACCAGATTGAATATCGTGTAAGCTTGCGAAATCTTTCGAATTTAACCACGCAGGAATTATTCTCCTGTGTTATGCAGCCTTAAGTAGGCCTAATTAGAAACTGTGATTTAGTCGACCAAATTCTTAAACCTCCGAGTGCGCTTAGAACCACATACTGTAGTACAAATACGAACATCACATTTTCTGTTTAGTTGGAATTCAAAACCAAAATAAAGAGTATTTTCTATTTACCGTTTCTCTCTTTTACCGGATCCCTGGTCCCGGAAACCTTTCGCAAATGGATTATGATCGATTTTTAACTGAGTTATCTGTAAATAAAAAAAAGAGGCAAACATGTCATTATCATTTTTTTGAAGAAAAAAAAGTTCTTCTTAACACTATAGGTCAGTCAACGAACTTCTGAATAACAATCTGAGTTTTAGTTGTTCAAAATTTCCAACTGTTAAACCAATTTTTACTGGACACTGTAGAAAAGAATAAAATCTAGTGTGGTTTAAACGCTCTATAGCGTTTCTGGTTACTGCGTCCAGTAAAAATCGGCCTTTACTCTTGGACAATATGAATGGTTTACCTTCTAGGGTAATTTTCCCTAATAAGAATTTATCTTTCTCAATTACATTTTTAAAGGTGAAATCCGCCTTGGTTTATTTTAATATTTCATTTCAATAGCACAAATTATTTCCAATTGAGGAAATCCGAAGTCAATATTTGAACATGGATATTAAATGCACTTACAGTTTAACGACTTCTCTTTGTTTGGTTCGTTTACTAATAACAGATATGGCCGAAGTATAATTAATTGTAAAACACATTAAATTGTAAATCTTAAGGACTCAAATACGCATAAATAAATTTGTTTTTAATTAGAATCGATATGCTTTAGTATTGAGTCTCGCATTCGGTCTTTTGCAACCGTTTAACTCCCGACATGTCATTTAACCCACATCACTTGATTCCCTCTTCAGCGATGCTAAGTATATAGTGAATTATATAATAAATCCCCCTGAAACCACTTCACTGCTACTTGTTAGAACATAATATCATGAATATTCATGAGCAGTGGCTGTCATTTCAGCCAGGGTTATTAAAAACCCCACTTGAGGCGATAGTGCGGTCTTCGAGGGGACGCAATCTACAAATCTCAAATCCCACAACTCAAGAAAATTAAGATACAATCAACTAAGTAAAGTAAATATGGCGACATTATTGCCTTTACTGAAGGACCATTGACCATTCATATGTAATTTGTAGACGATATACTATTTGCCAGTTACTTCCCGCCTATTTACATGAAGATTGAAAACCAAGCAAGTTAGGCGCCAGAGTTACCCGGGAAGCAGAAGACGGATCGGAATTAAAAATCTCCACTAAAAATGGTCGCACGAGTAGCCTATTATTACCTATCACTCCATTATCTGATTTGCGTGGATTTAATAATGAGTTTGTTTGGATAATATTTATCTTGAAAAATAAAAATTACCAATTATACTCAGCTATCTAATGCTCTTTGCCACATAATCGCGTGTTTACGATGTCTGTAATTATAACAACTGAATCGCAATATTAATTCTACTTGCTTAACTAGCAATCCGATAGAGGGATATCAATGAGTCAGATTAAGACTGTGCATTTTGAGAACATACGAAAGCAAACAGTTACCACGATCGATGTGTGTATTACAAGAATAAATATCTTCTGGAAAAAAAAATACTTCGAAAGTTTGAACTTTAGCCCATGGGTTAATATGCCTGCACATACTTTTATTTGATCGATTGCACAATGCATCAGAAAATTGTTAGCTTCACGGCTAACATTGTATGAATTTAGAACAAGCAAAAATATCCCAATCTCATTTTGTGGAAAAAAAAAACCTACAAGAATCATCCTTGATTTAAATCATAGCCCAGTGACAATTTACCAAACTCCGAACTGTGTCATTATTTATCTGGTGTTGGGTGTGTAATTTTCTCTGTTTCTCTAGCATCGATTCTTAATATTATATTAATTGCAACTTTTATCAAAAAGACTTAAGCGAGATAAAAAGAAAGCGAAATACGGGTTAATGATATAAAAATAAGTCCCTTTTATGTGAACGAACCCTGCACATCCTTGACGAAAATATCAGCAGCCAATACGGTTTATTATACTGTTAATTAGTACGTGAGCACAGGCGATATTAGTAGCTGGATTGTGTATTAAAAATTAGACCATCTAAACACGTAGAAACGATTAAATTAATTTGATATTGTTCTTAAATAAGAGCATGTTGGATCAGTTGTGAATATATTTTTTAGACTAACGTGGTTTATTTAATGTAATCACATCACCCCGACCTGCGATTCGTCTATTCTTAACAAAGTGAATTAGAAACACAAGGGGGGAAAGGTTGAGTTCACATAGCCCTACTCGTGATCAGGAAGTTTTCACTGATTAAGCAACTAAGTTCTCTCCACCCCATATTACTAAGAATATATGATACGTCACCCTTAAAATGATATTTTTTCAGATGTCGCATGGAACTTTTGATGTGGTGATAAAATTATTTAATAACATTATTATCTTTGCAGTATGATGTTGAAATAGCGAATAAATTATAAATTATAATTTCTACGTTGTTGCGTAATTATTGTGTCATCTGATCTTGCTGAAACTGTCAAAATAAATGCACATATAATTTATAATCAATGAAATATCGTCTGGGCAGTGAGGGCCATCGTTTGCAAATGACGTGTTGGTATTTTGTTTGTTCCCACGCCCAATCAAGCAGGTTGTTGTGGGGGGCGAGTGCACTTTCGCGTGAAATTACTGCTTCGATAAATCGTTGAATCAAAGATGGCTGCCAATAAAAGGAACCGGGATTGAATTTGTTTGGTAAATTGAACATTTTCTTGACCTAGAGCGCCCCGGCGTAAATTAAACACCGTGATTGTCTGTCGGTCACGGGATGATGGCAAACCTACGTGGCGTAGAGCCACGACGAGAGGTGTTCCGAATTACCACGCATAACTTGGTATCGTGTTTACTCCGTGTACTTGATAGGTCCATCGAGACTACGTCACCGTGTATCCAATTCCCAGGAATTTAATAAAGTGATTTCAAATCGAACTATCCCGTCAATTAATTTATCGCTAACCCTGGAATCACAACGGTTTATTACATACTTTATAATCTCATATACGTCGGGAATCTGTAGGCCTACTTTTTCGCCAATGCCCTATTTTACCCTGGAAGATGAGACTGAAGTTGATAGGAAGATAGGCCTACAGATGGCACGGAGGAGCAGCAACGAGGTGGTTTACATGACGGATCGATAAAAACAGATGCAGACAAACCTTCTGCTACTCGACATAGACTAGTTGACAGAATTAAGATGTGCTTTTGTAGGTCATTATGTTGTAAGTGCAACAATGCGAGTTGCCGCTACTGCACATGAATCACGGCCTCGCACCTTAAGGTTAATTTCATCGTTTTTTTCTTCCCCTTGTTTTTGTTCCATATAAAAATCAGACCCAGTAATGAATGACGCTCTCATTAAATCAACCGAGGCGCCGATGTAACACTTCGAGAAAAAAAAAATCGGTCTACATACCTTTTCATTTTGGTAGGCAGTGACTGCTATAAATTCCGTTTCCCTGAAGACGAATGTACGGAATTGACTCCACGGCAACTTCAGAATGTCGTTGGCTTTGACAATATGAAAACGAGGCTGGTACTTATGCATCGAATTTAATATTGTCTGTAAAAACAACATGTAATATAATCGGTTACCATATGGTTTCGCTTAATTAATCAATTAGTATAATTATTCAAGAAAATTTCATATTTTGGCATTAAAATGTTCAATCAACATATTATGTTATCACCATATTTTCTCTAATGAAGTTCATAAATCGAAGTTTTACGCATGAAATTATTAATCATTGCCTGTAACGATTAACAATACGGAGGCAGGACTTAATTAAAGTGATTGTAAATATCTATTTGCTTTGGAAATGTCTTTATACTATAACAGTATAGGTCTATAGTGTAGTTACGTGGTACTTTAAAAGGCAAGAGACGTTTGTCGTCAACAAATTATTTTTAGATATCATTCTGAAATCTATTTCTAAAAAAAAACACAAATCACAGCGTATCGGCGGAGTATGTTGATGTACGGTATGCTGTACTTCTGCTGTACGAAGGGCATCAGGATTTATGTTCATCGACCTATATAGGCCTACTCAGCACAAAACAATGTTGAAAATAAGCTATCAAAGTCCGCATGAACACCTTTCAATAATGTTATAGTAGGCCTAATCGACCTGGCCTGAACATGCATTACGATGCGTGGTATGCTGCAGATTTGAAGAAACATCCATACGGGAACTCCCATGACCTATTATAATAATCTCTAAAAACAAAACTATGAACCTTCAAAATTCTCTACCACTGTCTTCCATTTTCAGACCATTTGATGACAGATGGAGTGAGTGATGAGATATATTAAGCAGCAGGTTAGGTGGGCAATGACAGGCTTTCAGGCCAGTCCACATCCGCTCATGGTCCCAAGGGCTTCGGATGGGACGGGGCTGGGCAATAAAAGCGCACCGGCATAACGGTTCTGTCGCTAAGCAGTTGCTATGCCTCCTGAACATACAGGAAAGCCGAGACGAGAAATTTCTTGTCGTTCGTTAAGTTTTTTCCTGAAATTAACGAACTTTAGGCTTTTATTAAGTTTGAAAATTAAACCGTTAAATGATCCTAGCCAGAGAAGGTATTGATCAAGAAGTGAAAAAAAAATCATCAGTTCATCAGAAAACGTCAACAACCAGGTCAATTCTCTAGATTATGGACCTAAATTATTCCAACAAATTTTCGAATACTTTACTGTATTTACTTAAGTATTAAACAATGCCAAAATTGTACCTGGAGCATTGTAAAATTAGACAAGACAAATTATATGTTAGCATTAACCCGAGCAGTTGGTGAATCGGTGCTTAATTGGTTAAGAATGGCTTATATAATAAGACTGTTACGGATCATAATATTATTATCTTCATCTAATAAACTCAAAGCGTTCCTAATGACGTGGCTCTTAGTTTACTTCAGATGTCCTAACACAATCTCTGTCTCGCTTTCTATTAATCTGAACTCATCAAAAAGAAGTACTCGATTATTTGAATTAATGTTAACAAATTGATTTCTAAGTTGTATTCTGAAATTGACTTAAAATGATTGACAATTAGGCTGTACATCTCATACAGGCAAACCTTCAATTATCACTGTAGCGTCGTGGATTAGGCAAACACACTGGGGACCAGTCAATCTGAGATGTTGTTCACACGCGGCCTAGCATTAGGACTTGCTCAAAGTGGCAGAAACATCCCCAATTATGGAGCATTGGGAAAGAGGCCTATCGAATGGACTTCATGGGCAGGCCTAACTGTCGTATTTTTAGTGCTAATTGAATCTGAATGAATATTTGCTGTCTGTCACTAAATCACGTGACGACACAAGGCCTCCTGGCCTCCTGTATGGCGCAACAGAAACTTGACGGTTAGTGGGAATTAAATGAGGAAATTAATAGGCAAAACCTCTTAATGAGTAAGGCAAACTTCGGTGAGAAGAGACGATTTACTTCGTTATCCGAGGCCACTACCCGTAAATTTTGAGGCCCGAACATCTCAACACTCAAGTCAAAGCCTATAATATAATCACGTTTTAAAGAAAGAAAATCAATTTGAACTTAAAATTTTCAATTTTCGATAACAATTACGACATTTTGTGAATGACATTTGACCTTTACGAATGACACTCATTGTACCTTATGTCATCTGAAAGGTTTTGAACTCATCATGTGTCTTCCAGCCGCATACACACATAAAGTTACTAAAATAAATCTACCCGAGAATTCCAACACGTAAGTCTATGCCGAATGTTAACCGAAAAGTTAATTTACAACTAATGCCTGATATAGCGGTATTTTACTTCAACGGGGACATATTATAGGCTCTTGAACTTGGCGCATTACGGGCAATACAGCGGCGTTATCAAAACATTTACGGCAAAAGGTGCGATTAACTATTGCTCTTTATATCACCTCGTGTTTACTTTTGAAAATAATTGGAGAGTTATAAAGATATAAACCGATGATTATCAACATGGTAAGAGACTATATAATCATATAACTCTCGTGAGCGTATGAAATAAAAGCAGGAAAACGTGTTGATAAATTCATAAACAGATTGGTAATAATAAGGGTGGACCACCTCCGACAAGTACGACAGTCGTAAAAAGTCCATCACCTCGAAATGTTTAACCCCGCGAACAAACGACCTTCTTGTACTTTCGACTGACTACGAACCATAATATCCATGCTTCATCATTATCATTGCAAAAATAGATAGAATGAACTGTATACTAATCGCATAATAAAATGCTCAATAGATAACTTGCATTCGATGCTTCGTAGCGTCAGATATAGCATACATCATTAGCCACGTAAATTTTAGCAAATATAAGTGATAAGCCAAATTTTCGACTCGTGCATATTTATTAAATTGTCTCAGTTCACGATATTTCGTTGTGAAATGAACGGAAGACTTGGTCAGCCAAATGACCAAATTTATGTTATATATTACTCGCGGAGATGTCTACTTTACTGTTTATTTTTAAGTATTCAGTACATTGATTTCAGCATAAATAACACATGTGATACAAGGGCAGTATAATATATTATATATATATATATATATATATTTATATATCATTACGTAGATGATGAGTAAAGAAGAATCGGTTTGTCTTTCTAATAAGATCTTGTTTTATATCTGAACTACTGTGCGATTATTTGGAATCGCCTTGGGCCATTCTGTGTCTGAAAGGAGGCAAGTGAAGTTAGTCATCTAAATACAAGCATCAGCGGCCAATATTCAATCGAAATTGTCTGTTGTCGCTTATAATTGCGCCAATTTACAAGTGAGTTTCCCGCTATGAAAAGAAAATTTCAAAAGCTCATTTCCAACAATACCAGCCGATTATTGATGTCTGCATATTGCTGAAAAGACATTGTATTAAAAACACGATGTACTTTTCTTAACAAGTTGACACCCAGGAGATAAATATATCTTCAATAAAATGAATATACAAAAAATGAAAATAATAATTTTTAAGTTAACAAAAACGATGAAGTTCTAGACAATATCGTTGCACAGAAGTGTATCCACCCGTGTTAAGTGTGATTCCTTTTAAACTTAATGCGGCAGTAATAAAACTGAAACTTAAACCAATTCAATTCAGTACTGTTATCATTCTTCATCCACCGACACTCGACTCAAATTATTATAAATTTAACACCTGGCCGAGTCGCAGTTTGATCGCCATTTGGACTATTTCACTATAAGTGATTCTTAATTCAGATATGCATAACAATGCGACCAACACGTTCGAATTCTAAACAAATTTTGTGCCATTTTTCACAATGTAAACTACGAAACAGATTGTAACGGGCGTTCATTATTAGCCTGTATTAAGACATAGCACGAACCGGAGTAAACAGTTTACTTGTTAATTCATATGTTATACAAGTTTCTTGGTAAGATATTAGCCAAATTGACGGAGTTTATGGTGATGTCCAACGGCAGTTTATCAACAAAGACTCCGTACCTGGTGTGCGACGTAACGCAGAATGTGCCCGGTTGCTGACGTTCTTAACTCTAGGTGAATTAATCAATTACCCATGTTCATGTCCAATTAAAAAAACTATGATTAATTACTAATAGTATGTTTCTAAACAGATTGCGTTTTGCTTGTTAACGACACGAAATACGTAAACATAAGCGCACCCCGACTTCGAGAAAATGGCGAAGTAATTTGACTGATGATAGTGTCTCGAACATTATGGTAACATAATAAAGAATAGATTCGCTATATTGCATCAAAATGAACAAAGGCTAAGTGTGGGTAAAATATGAGATAATTGATCGAGGAATTATTTGAAGTTTTAGGACTTGAACTCCGCGTCAACAAAAAGAGATCAACGTAATCGTGTAACTTTTTTAAACGAATGAAAAGTAATGGTTGCAATGTCAAAAAATGACAAAGAGTTTAATTTATAAATCAAATCAAATAAAAATTAGCATTATTATCAATACAAAAGTTTGCTGCACTCGGTGACAATTTCACACAATTAAGTGGAATCTACGATTTTTACGAAATTCTATAATTTTGTGTAAAAGACTGAAAGGTTTTAACGAAAACAGACTTTGAACGCTAATACATATTGTTATAATAAGTTTATTCAAAGAAAATTGTTCTTAAATCTAGCAAAAGGACGGTAGGTTTGCTGTTATTTTAGTAAATCTCGAGACCATTAGGACCCGTTTATAATTAGACTAGAGTGCGATAACTTTGCCTCAGGCCATTCTCACGATGTCGCTGCACGTTGTTCCGCGCACTATTTTATTTATTTTTTTAACTTTTGTTTTAAGTGTTAAGGGATCTAGCCTACTTGTGAAACCAAACGTACTTAGAGGCAATCTTCTTAACCATATTGAGCAAACAAATGGGTTCTTTTATTCTAAGCGTATTATCCTCTTGAACACTTCGAAATTTAACACTGGCTGGCGCCAGCTATCGTGCTTGGCCAGGCGGCGCTAACACTCTCGGTTAACTTTTCGAAGCATGCTACATAGTGACAAAATGATCATGTTATTAGGCTCGAAGACATCACTTCACAGCCTCGCCAAACTGAAAATGACATCGCGAACGGCACAGCTAAGTGTAAATGAATTGTGCTTATCAACGTTCATTCTGAAGTTTATGATAAAAACGATTTAGAATTGCGATGGTACAGAGCTGCTTAATCCAAGCTGATTTCCGCGGTAAATCGAACATTTATTCTGCTAACCAAGAACAAGACTTGAAAAGCAGACTATAAAATAACATGTTGTTAAGCTTTGTATCTGTAAATGATAGACTAGAATATGTCTCCTCATGGATAAGCATAGTTCTGAATGTAATGTAGATAGAAACATAATTTTTGATGAAATGAACTTCACGAAAGAAGACTACACTAATTCTCTATCAGGAAACTGTGTCACAGTACTTTATGGTGAATATAAAAACATAATTTTATAGCGCGGTGAGATTAATAAACCTCTGGTTTTGTGACACAACACTTACTATTAGTTATCTTTAATCCCGTCGAGAAAAAAATAAGGTCGATATTTATTATGACAAAAAAAAATTGGTTTCATTTTCATCAAGAACACGAAACGTGTTGTATTCGTTTGTCTAACAAATAGACGCAATTTCACATTGGTTGACAATCGATTGAACATTCAATTTCAAAACATTAAACTCGCACTCTATTATATTATGCTCAACGAATAAACATTGTCTGCGCACAATAATAGACCGATCATGAAGACTTTCTAAGTGTCCTATATAAATGTTTTAATGTTAGATTTGTTAATCGCGCGATTTGCATTGCAACGCGTCACATGTTGCACGAGTTTGCACTCTCTTTGACCTCGTGTGAACTCGCTATGTTTCAAATTGTGGCTTAGATACAAGTTAGCGTTGTCAATCAAAACGCTCAATAAGATTCGGCGCCAAATTGTGAGTGATATTTTGTCACAATTTTGATCAGATAGTGAGCCAGAATTCTGCAGCCAAACATCACAATTCATCAACGTGCTAAGCCAGTGACTTATGAGCTGGAGAATTCTCTAAATCCTACAAGAAAACAACCCACTTTATAAGGTAGATTATACGTGCTACAGGCCTGTTACAGCAAATCAATGCACGCGATTGACGCGATCGACGCTTTCGTTAAAATTAGTTAAGATTGCAGCGAACGTGCGAGAAATTCGCTCAATTTCATTTATCTATCTCAGTTTGAGTGGAGGGTTGGCTACCTATAGGCAAGAGGAGGTGGTAAGCATAGCTATTCAAAGACTGTTTCGATTCACTGACGGTGTTTGACTTCCGAATGCATTCGTGCCTAATCAGACGCTTCCAACGTGGAAAATTGTGCATAAACGCGACGCACAAAATTAGACAATAATATAATATTACAACTCAAGTTACTTTTAAATCTCTCAACCAGTTAACATGGAAACAAGAAACCATATTAGGTTACTTACATAACTGCAAACATTAACATGAAGTAATAATTATCCAACATTCATATTAGGCCCATAGATAGCTTTATAAGGCCTATATTTTGAGTGGTTTTAACGAAATTATAGTATTTTCAGTATTTACGAAAACAGTAAATTGAAGATATTTACGATTTATGACATACAATTTTCTACATGGCAAGATAAAGCATTCTTTTAATATATTATTAAAAATGATGTAGGCCTAAATACATAATGTTTCACTAAGTGTTCATCATAAAGAGTGAAAAGGTATGTATTCCAAAACCTAATTATACAATTCGTTAATTTAATACGTTTACATTTTCTTTAGGCCCCTATGCGAATGAAATACACATTCAGTGAAAATTGTTAAGCCTTTAAAAACATCACAAGAGTATTAAAACCCACTATGATTGATTCATACACGAGTGTTCGATTTATACACTGTGATTTCAAAAAGACAGTTTTAGCCTATACTGAGAGAAAATCCAACCACTGCTAAACAAGATAACTCACTTTAGAAAAATAACTATAGATTACACACACACTAAGTATAACAATACTTTGTAATCGAACATATTGATGAGTAATTACAAGCGTATCATGGAACAAGTAAAAGACAAATATGCGGGCATGTATATGCCTTGTTTATGCACCGGTAAGCTGGCGATCATAGATAGCGATCGTACGAATGCCAACGTCCGGGCGCTCAGCCAACGCTTCTAAGGTGTGTATTCGTGATATACAGTATGCCTTCCCTTATATCGCAAGGCTATAAGGACGCATCAAATGCCCTAAAGCAGGCCTACCAGCACCAAAACAATTTGCTTAGAATTCTATTGTTTCCTACTACCAAGCAAAATGTAAAAAGACGCTTACGTGAGTACTTACAAATCCATGTTTGTCCGATATGTTATTTGTAAGTTTCAGCTTATGGAACGAGACAACTTTCTGCATCCACTGTTCGCCGGTGCTGGGGGAATCTGGGTGGATATACATTCTCTTGGGCATTTCTGGATCAGCTTTGCCCGCAACCATCCATCGGGAATTGTGAAATTTATATCGACAATCGTCGGCGGCTACAATGTCCATTAGAAGTATATACTTGGCACGCTTATCTAAACCAGATACACGCACCTTGAAGGATGGAAACATCCGCCTGAAAATAATGACAACAATGAAAAGAATCAAAAGAGGAACATATCGTATCTATTACTTAAATAATATATAAAACACATATAAAAACTATCATGAATTAGGTCTAGGCCTATTCAGTGAAAATGAATATTAAGCAACGCTTAGATTTTATTCCATGATCAGACCATATCAGAACTGTATCACTTTAGTCGACAAGGGCAACCAAGCCGAAAAACATGCTTTTTACATGTTAACATAACGATAATATCAACAGTGTGGTGTATGAAACAGATGTATCCTAGAATGCACACACACTTATCCATCAAACAGAACGTAGGCCTATCGTGAATTATTTTCATTTTAACACTGGTTCCAATTCCATAAATATGTTCAAGATAATATAAATTAAAAACACAGAAATATAGGCACCAATAAAATAATTCGGAAGGTAATTATTAGATAAAAAAAATAAACAGTTTGTCAGGCAGGAACTTTCTGCAATACTAACGTAGACCGAATTACTCATCAGGGGCAATGGAAGGCCTCAGTATGACCTAAATTCTACCGACAATCAACTTGTTCAGATTTGGGATACAGTATTACAATTTCAGATAAAAGTGAAATACTTCAGTTGAATTTGTTGACGGAATTGGTCAGCCCAAATTTTAGTAATACAAAATAAAACTGTGATATGTAATTGGTATAGTAATAAATCAATCCAGCTATGCCACCGAATAAAAAAAATCACAACGAATAATCACTCACATTAATTGTTTTTCCAGGTAATTTAATCTGCTACTATACTTGCGTATCGTTATGCATCAAATAATGGTAATATACTATTTTTAATAATTGATTAATTGCCTATATCTTAATTTGTAAATTAAGTTCTATATTGCAAGATGTTTAATGTATTAAGAGACTCTACTAGTAACCACTGAAAAAAATTCAACTTAAAGTCTTAATTGCTCATTTTTTAATGCTTATAGGCCTAGATTAACTTCCAATACAATACACAGATTGAAAATACGCCGATTTGCAGATTTTTTATGTACTTATTATAGTACAAGGAAGTAATAATATAGGCTATATGAACAGTAGTGCGTCTCTAAATCGAGAAGGATAACATATTTTTACTGATTTTTCAATTATGAGCTGATGATAACTTAAACAGAAAGATATGCAATTCAAATTTTAAACATATATCTTTATTTTTTAGCTTTATTAACTCAACAAGGAATCGAATAAGAATACACTGTTGGCATATTTTTCACTTTACTTGATATCTGACAGTATGAAGTTACGGTGCGACTGACAGTTTGAATAGATCAAGTTATAGTATCAAATTGTTATTCAAAAACCAACCTTCCTCACTTCATTAAATTAAGGCCAATGCCTATATGAAATACAATGATATTAGTAATTTAAGTTAATGTTAAATGTTTTTGAGACACCTGAATTGCTACTCGTTATTAATACGTGAATATATTTTCTTATACAATATGAAAATATTAGTTCAAATTTAATAACCTTTTCTCAAAATATATTTTAAAAAAATACTGGTATCATTAAAATGTATTAAACTTTAAATCTAGTATGACTTTTGATGTAAGCATACTTTTATGGCTACTGTAGTTAGGTCATCATGATGGCCAAATATCCTAAGTCAATCGAAGAAAATTCCGTTGGTGAGTATTATTACACATATTTATATTAGAATCAATAAAACACTATGGCATGTTACATGAGATGGTATCATTGCTGAAGCACTTGCTTAATAACAAAAGAGATGCTGAAATTACAATTTATTAGGGTATCTTTCAACCCTTAAATAGTTGATATTACAGGCATGAAATTGCTACTGTTTTAACGCACTTGTGTATTATTTCCATCATCTCAACATCAACAAGCATTACTTAAAAATCTACATTGCATGAATTCAACACACTTAACTTTTAAACTAAAATGCCAGCTTCGAATACTGTACAGTTACAAACACTGACGGCCTTCAGGTTTACAGTTTGTATGTAGGTATATACGGTGTACTAGTGATATATAGTTATACTATGTAATATAAACACAATGGTGTGTATACAAAGTATAGGCATTTACTATATAAATTCAACTTTTAATGTAAAATAATGAAACTGGGCGGTTACAGTATACTTCTTAGAACACAAACTCTACAGTATCTCACATTATATATATAGGCCTACCATATGTATATAAACATATCATAGAAAACGTATTGTTCGTTGTCGAGGTGCAGATATAATTTCTAAACGTTTTGAATTGAACGAAAGGATAATTCTTGATCTTGCGTGTAATTCCTACACAATAATTAAGTATTTTATATCAATGTTTAGATTGTGTATCTAGATACAGCCCATTCATTATAGTGTACTACTGTATATAGCTTTACTATGCAACTAAATAGTTAATGCTCTAGGTCTACGGTAGAAATGCACTAGAAATTATATATTGATCGTATTTTAGCCTAGCTTTCTGCCTCTCCAAGCCACATATAGTATAAAGTAAAGCCTACTACTACTACTTCTTAGGCCGGAGGCGACGTCCTTCTTCGCTAAGCAGGGCGACTTTATGGGCCTGGGTGTTACGCTTGTGCTTCATTACGGAGCAGGTGTCCTACGATGTTGCCCAAATTGTTTTTGATCAAGTTTACCTATATGATTTTGACACTAATCGACTAGACACCGAACCACCTGTACAGTATCTGGTTAGACGGGAACCCTAGCCCAAGTTCCTATCACTCCAGCAGGTAATTGTCACATGGGACACGGTTCGGTTAGCGCACGGAATACACTGCTTTCTTTGCGGTTTCTACCTATAATATTTTAAATACAGAATAGCCTATCGAAATATCTACGACAATAATACGGATAACACAATAACACTGGGTCTAGTGTGATTGTACTTTAGGATAAATCATAAATAACAAAAGGACAAAAACCACAACGATCAAGTAGATAAATGAGAAATAAAACGGGCAATCGACAAAGAACTTCTAACGAATGCTTTGTTGTTAGTAATAGTATTTAAAGAGACATATCACTAGAATGCAGTCATCTTCATATTTAACTTGAAATATAGGCTATTACTATTTTAGTTGTGGAGAAGTTCAATTAACCAAACAGTTTTTATGGACTCTCTTAAATCTGTTCAAAATTAACGTTCTACATACAACTTTAATACAAGAAATACAGTAGGTTTATGGTTTATTTATCTTCACTAGCAAAAGTCTGTTAAGATTATATCCTGCATCTAAGACACTTTAAAGAAATATATTTTTAATGATGTATGCTTAGTTTTTAGAATAGACTGAATACATTGGCATACAGTAATTTATTTTTAATGTTTACATTTATAAACACCAGTTTATCAATATCTTTATATATTTTGTAAGCTAAATACATGAAAGTAGTTTACAATTATACATTCAGGTTGAAGGGAGAGTGTGTTAGAATAAACGTAAGAATGTTATGTCTAAAAAAAAATTAAGTAAAACTGATGTAGAAACCTACCTGCCAGATTTGGTTATAACCATTTCAGTTCCAAATTTATGAAATTGATCCCATAGGTCTTTTCCTTCCAACATAACTTGAGGGTCATCAGTGTCTCTCTCCTGTTGTTCGAGGCAAGGAAAGGGCCTAAATGAGGGTCGTTGGGAGGTAAACAAATCATGAGAAAATGGGTTGTGATGGGAATCCGAAAGCTTAGGTAAACTAAACGAGGATGGGCTCGGGATGCCATGTGTATGCCCTGGTATCATACCAGGAAAAAACTGCGGCTGAGTTAAAATAGTTTGCACAGAGAAATCTGTTCGCCTAGGTGGAAGGATTGGAGCGTAAGCCATTCCGGTTTCCGAGAGCCAAGACTGCTTCATCAAGATATTCCACAACTTATATATACGAAGTGATTGTAACGATCACCTCTATCTGTAATGCCTAGCCACTAACTGTTTCTCAACTTGGCAATGGTGTGTACTATATTACCATCGAGAGCGATTTGTGTCCCCGTTAGTTGTTCTCTTGCAGCTTCCTATGTAAACTCAGCGAATTCATTTACACACACTGCCTAAAACCTTCTCTCCCCTTTACTCGCAATACTATTACAGCAATAAGAAGTGATCTCGTCACCTGATTGGCCAATTTACGCTCGCTGGCCAATCACGAACCACAACGAACGGCAATAGGCGTGTTTGCACAGACTCCGCGGGATGTACGATCTCAGATAGAGGTGTCGGCTGGCTGAAAACGTTTACGAGATACCCACATCAATCCCGTGAAAATGCAAACATAATTAAATAGCCACCAATATTGCAGTCAGTCAGTTCGAACTCAATGAAGTGAAAACAACAAACGAACAAGTCGCCCGCTACTTTCACTATGCACTGTGCTATCAGACGCCTGCAATATACATGCTACCAACTTAACGATCAATGTAAACTATCTGTTGGAGATAACGAAACATTATAACCACTTCAGTACATTTTACCAAACGTCAGAATTCTTGTTGATATTTTCGTTTCCGGTCGTCATAATATAAATTATGCGTACATGATTTTGGTCTTACGCGGCGCCTGTTCTAAACCTTGGTAATAGTAGGTGTTAAAATCTCTTGGCCTTTTGTCAATTATACAAATTTCTTTGTCTCATGTATTGAACGTCAAATGCTTCAGCAATTCTTGATAACACTTCAGTGAAGTCACCCAAAAGAGCACTCTGATCCCGCAACAGCTCTGTCTCCCGATTTTTCTATCCCTTTTGATCTTCAATTTCGTCCTAGCAATAGGCCATTGTAATATTTACATCTTCTATTGGAGGCGGGTCGAATGAAAAGCGAGAAAATGATCGAGGTCTAACGCAGAGTGATTAGCTATTCTCGCCTTCATTTTGACGCAAATACTTAAGTACTACTGGCGCCGGCGCTGTGACGTCGTACAATAACCGCTGTCTGAGTATTGCTATTCATTCAGTAAAACACCACGACGCCCTGGAACATGCATAACGGAAACATAGCAACGGTCACTAAGTGCACATAACGTTGCTTATGCTCAGTTGCTTATAGATTGAGCCCCATGGCGCAGCTTGGTTTTGTGGGATTTCCGTCCAATTTTGGTAATGATGATCTAATTCAATAACATAGAGAGCTTTTAAAATAAGCTAGGCGAATTCTCGAGTGTTGTTAAGATAACCGATAACTGAATCGGGTGTTTTTGTTTTGTTTTTATTTAATAGCCGAGTGGTTTGTTACAAAATGCAGTAAGGAAGGGAACACCGGGCTACTTGGTACTTATGCTAGTTAATGGTTCACAAATCAATCTAACAGCTTAGTGATAAAGTTGGCACCTCGGCTCCAGTGTTCTGTCACCTCTTGTATAAATGAAAATATCAAACCTGGTGTTAAAATATTAATAAGTAAACAATTAATGGCAAAAGTGAATCAAGGACATGCGATTGGCGGCTATCACAATATTGGCCAAAGCTGATAGGCCTACCGTATGTCCCTGTAAGCTGCTACCAGATTGGTCAGAGGTGTTACCTAGTTCATCAAATACTGTCTACGGGCTGTATCTCAGTTTGAGCTCATTACAAGGGTGTTTGTTTGAAAGTAGACTATTATCGATAATTACACTCCTGATTGACACTCTTCACACATTGGTTCCACCTCCAGCCAATCAGAAGACGAGCCTGGCATAATTGTTGTTGACTAGCTAAAGTGTTAACATAATTAATCTGCGCCACGGAAAACACGCGAGGTGTGAACAGCCTTTGTACCGCTAGACACCGCCCATTCATGCAACGTTCCTGTTAATTCGGACTGGCGCCAGTTATATGTTGGTTGATTAATCGCAAGGAAAACATATGGGAACCCAAAGGCTTTTTAGTAAATTCACTCAACATTCTAGGTATTGTCTCTAGTCAAGGTACAAAATGGGTACTGCATCAGTTGCTATATAAATTTGCATTCGTGTTTTTATCGTGGAGGTATGGCATTATCAAGTGTAATACCCAGGTCCATTTCAAGTGTGCATATATAGCTGTAGTTTTCGACAACACTCCGGACATGCAGACCGCAGACTACTGTGCACGCTTGGGCTGTAATCATAACGCTGGGTGGTCTGGGTTAGGACTACTGTTTTAAATTTGTAACTATTGTTGAAGTGGAATACAGTTTGACAACCTATATTGGCCGATAAACCCTAATTAACCCTTCCTCTAGCTAATTTTTCCCAAACATTAATATTGGTCAAAAAAAAAATTCATCAATAAATTATCCAATGAGATAAAAAATAACTATGATCTAATTATTGCATGATCCGGCGACGGCCTTCGATTGGAATAATTACAGCATTTGTATTATTGAAAGATAATTCGAAGCACAATTGAGAGATCTCCGCCATCGAACGGGTGCCGAATGATAAGAATAACATCAAGTGAAGGTCATGCATAATAAATATGTTAACCAACCACATTGTGAACAACCCTCGAAATTATTTCATAACAGCGAGAAGCGGAACCTCCCGCCCTTCAAAAGTGTTTATAAGCAGTGACCTACAAACGCCGACGAAGCTAACAGATCATTGTATTATAAATCAACATGAAACGTTGTTTTTCACACGAAAATTTACGATTGATATTCAGAACTACTGCTGTTAGATATGAAGTAAATGGTGGTCATACAACAACAATATCAAAAATGCAACCCACATACCAAACTTTTGATGAAATGCTTCCACATTCTCTTAATTGGATTAATTATTCGAATGACGTAATTAACGCGCAGGTCTCTTTTGAGCGAGATCGGTGATTGTTCAGTGAACGACGTACTGAGTGCAGCGTTATTCAAATCACACAATTCGAATTCTACAATGTGCTTAATTTTTAACGAATTTGACACCACTAATCTCATTACCTGAAACCTATCTCTCAAATTAGCGCTCTTAAATAGCCCAATGTTTCTTTTATAAAAAAAAAATGTAGCTTTGTAAAATTTGCATTATAGACTATACGCCTATGCGTACAATATATTAATTTTGCTGAGTAGCTTCCTAAACACTATACAAACTATGGATAAATAATAATTATTTATCTTAATATAGGCCTATATTAATTTATAAGATATATACATAATTTATATATTTAATTAAAATTTTATTGATTGGCCTATTTTACTTGAATATTTTATGGTAATTTAATTCATGTCATTGGCATCGGAGAGCCACTAGACAGTGCTACAGTTCACTTTTTGGCAATCCTGTCCGGCCAACAGAGTGTTGTTTTTTGCTCTCTGTTATCTTGTGTTTGTCAATTTTAATGTTTCTTGGACGAAATAAATGAAATGAACATGAAATCATTATCATATCATCACTATCGTGCATTATTATTACCTTTCCCGACTTCTGAGGTGTCTTTTAATTACTTTTTTGTTCTTCAAAATTCAAGGTTTTCCCATCTTGAAAACGGTCTGGTAATTTTTCCCATTGTTATTACAGTAAATCTGTCTGTTATACACATCTAGATGTGTATAAGAGACAGCGCCTTGACAGCGAGAGGTCGCAGGTTCGAGTCCCGCCAGAGGCATTTTATTACACAATTTCTTTATTCATTTATTTACAGGACTACATTCGTTGAGAGCTATGCTACACGATGTATTTATTAAGTCCTATATTCGAACACTGTATTTACCTTTCTTTGATGATTCATATATGATTTAACAGTGTTAACGGCTACCTTGATTTATGTTATATATATATATATATCTATATATATATGGGCTGTTGATATATTTTGTAATGCTGTTTCTTATATTTTACTATCAATACCTTGTGTGGATATTGAACAATCAAATAATGACAAATATTCAAAACTAGTCAGTAGGTCCAAATCCAGATTATAATTGAACACGTCCAGTCCTATGTTATCTAAATTATAAGTGTGGCTGTCTTTATTATTAGAACAAGTCCTTAACTGCCATACGTTCTAGCACATATAGGTAGCCATGTAGCTAACTAACGTGTAGCAGTTTACACGTTAGTGCTAGCGTAGGTGTGAAGCCGCGACAGCCACCATAATCGATAGAAATACACGCATAATAATGACGTCATCACACATTTCACACGCACACGTACAAGAAACGTGTGTACAAAGTTCGAGAAAAACAATGATTTGGTTTTGATGCCAAATTAAAGTTTGTATTATTTAGGCCTACATGTTAACAAAAATTATATTTAGGCCAATATTGTTTAATTTGTTTTAACAATAGGTCTAAAGTAGGCCTGTTTGTGATATTATTATGTTTTACTATTACTAAATTAGGGTTCATTATAATATCCATACGTCATTTTTGTTGTTAACTATTTAATAAACTGTTTACTGCAGGCAGAGGCTGATAAAGAAGGGAAAACCCTCATCGTTTTAAACGGCGGTTTGTTTTAAGCGCGAGTATCGCTAATGTTTGGTAGACCTATCTTGAATCCTACTTAATACGTTCTCTGATTAAGCTATTTCATGGTTTAGTCACTTTAATGGGGCACGTGTTTTGACATTTATTCATTAAGATTTCTATCTATTCATTAGTTTCTATATACCATTACAGTGTTTTATTTCGTTGAATTACAGCTGCGTTACATATTTGCATACTAAGATATCATATTACTAACCGGTATCTAAATGAATAGCTATAGCGTTCTAATATCATAATATCGACAACTTCATCACTAGAGCATATAGGACGCTGTGTTTAATATTCCATTGTGTACGGTATTGTGGTGGAACCTGAAGCATAATTATAGTTAATATAATTAAAAAAATATAAATTTAAAATATTTTAAATTGTAATGAAATAAATGATAATAATAATATAATAAATAAAAAGGAATATAAAGAGGAATATTAATATTAATAATAATAATAATAATAATAATAATAATAACATAACATAGGCCTAAATATAAGGACTAATAATGAACGATGACGATAATGACAATACAAATGATAGGGCTACTACTACTAATAATAGGCCTAATGATAATAATCATTCATAGTAATTATTATTAATAATCACATGAATAATGGTTATAAAAATGCTGTTGTTGATAATAATATAATAATAATAATAATAATAATAATAATAATAATAATAATAATAATAATAATAATAATAATAATAATAATAATAATAATCATCGCCATCATTCCTATTCCTGGTCTACTTGTAAATCACAAAGCATAACAAACATTTTATGCTTAAAGCAACATTATACCGGTTAAATAAGGTAACCTTTAGACCATTAGCTAACGATTAAGTCCATGATTATAGATTCAATTGAGTTTAGAAAGCAGAGTGATATCTCTCAGTAGATAAAAGAGATAGGGAGAAAGAACCTTACAATTGGCAATTTTATTTAAAAATAACACTGAATTCGCCTATAGTGCAAATATAGGCCTAAACGTAAAGACAAAAGTGGAGCGCAAACTATGGTCAGTAGTACACCAGGTGACATTTCCGTGGATATCTCTTGGTCTCCGATTCAATTCAACGATAAAATGCAAATTTTAAAAAAAGCACACCATTTTTTGGGATTAGACGTTTAAGCCATTGGTCCCGTGTGCAAAATGGCACATGGGCACTTTTTGATTAGTGCCACTACTGAGTTGTTTTTTATGCGCACATGATTGTATTAATTTCCCATTTAAAGGGCGAGATAGTTAAGCAAAGTGTTTACTATATCTTAGTTTGTGTGTAATTCCATAGGGCGTACCAATACCATACTCTATTGAATGAATACATGATGGTACGGGATGATGCTACTACACGTATACGACGTACCGAGACACTTGGTCTTTATAGAGGCAGGCCTATACAAATAGGCA